GTCAATAACAATAAAACATCCCTTTCCAAGTGTTTTCTGTCGTTCGGTTTTGCTACTTCCGGTGTAGGGATTTCAGCCACGTGACATTTACCTTTTGCAACGAAATTCAGGATATAGCTTAAACTCATTTTTTCTGAAGCTAAGATGATATTGCAAGCATTTTTACTGTGTTTGAGAAAAGGGTTGATTTGCAAAGAGAAATTGCAACCTGGCCAAAAGAGATCTGTTTTTTAAAATAGGTGTACAATCTGAACCATAAGTCTAAGAGTGGTTTTACAACTACAAATAGCACAACTAAAAAAGACGATGTGTCACTTTCTGCAGTTAGATGAGGTACTAGAATACTAGTAAGTAAAAAGTTAAAAGACGAATATAATTACTGTGGCCATACTAATACTAATTTTATAGCTCGTCACAGTCACCCCCAACTTTTAAATTCATTTTTCTCAAAACATTTTGAACATACAATATTTGTCATCTTAGCTATCGATAAGTATATTCCATACCCCATATTCCAAGGGACATCGGCGAGGATAAGTATTTGTTAAGATATCGAAGAGGACTATATAATTATAAAAATGTCCTAAAGAATTGGGTTAGGGGTATCTTTATCTTTATCGGTTGTAAGCAGGTAGGGTTAGGTTTGGCCCAGAACACTGCGGCCTCTTGGGTCTATTGTATTCCCCTGCTTTCCCCGTATTCAGGTACCATCTTTGGAATAGTCCTGTGTCTTTGGTTAGTTTTAATAGGTTCCCTACCAAGTGTTCCTGGGGCGTTCTTTCCGGTTCTAGGCCGAAAAAGATGAAACGTCGCCCAGTAAGAGCTTCACTTCGAAGATCACATGGTATGAGGTTTCTTCCTCTTCCATGCAAAGTCTACACGTAGTGGGATCATTGTGTAATCCCATTACATGAAGGTGTTTTAGCAAGCAGTGCCCCGTTAGTAATCCCACAATGTTGGATATCTGAGGCCTTGCGAGTTGTAGTGCCTCAGTAGCCATGTGTGGGTTTGGTCCCCTTAGCATGAGCTTACTGATTCTGTGCCCTCTTATCTGTTGCCAGTGAATTTAAGGCTATAAAGAGTGTTCTGTTATAAAATAAAAAAAAATTAAACTGTAGATTCATGACCTAAAATAAAGGTGGGTTCTTTATTTAACATTTTTTAAATGCCCTATCTTTGCTAAGCTACATCCTCCTAAAAAAGGTTTTTCACAAAAAAAAAAACAAATTGTGCACTTGTGGATCATAAACAATCCTTATTGTAACTAAATTTGTAGTAGGCAATTGTCATGATTATTTCAGAGGTGTCAAAATATTATTATTAAAGTATTTATCTTGTAAATTTTTGTTGTATTCTCTGATTTATTAGCAACTATTTTCTTTTCTTAAAAAAACATCAAAAAAACAATAATTTTCTATAAAAAAGTGTACACTTATGAAAAATTATTTATTCTTAAAACCATACTAAAACTACAGCTTCTATTTTCAATGTTAAAGCATTTGTTCAAAATTACGATCGCCCACCTGAATACACGTCTGCAATCTTCTTAAATTTCCGTATACGAAAACTAATCGGGTGTTACGAACTTCATCAGTGGCGTTGAAAATTATCTTTCTCAATACTTCAATATAGGTGCGCAATAAATCACATTTTTCATGTTTCCCTGAAGGTAAAAGTCCCAATTTAAATTAGGGGATCGGAGTGGACATTTTGTTGTAGCCTTTCTTACTTCTCAAGAAAAATGAGGGGAAGGTCAGACTTGCATAAACCATTGGTTATTGTAGAGACTAAAGGAGAAACTTCTCCAAAATGAGCAAATCTCTTTGAGCCATTTAACCTATTCGGTAGCTCAAAATGGTCAATTATATTGTCGCCATTCTGACCCAAATATTGATTTACATATAATATTGAAACTTTTTATGTGTTATGATGTGAGGATTTTCAATACTCTATAGATGTTTATTTGATGGTGGGTGAGGTTTTCCGGGTTTCCTCATCTGTAAGTCAAATGGCACCATCAATCATCTTTAAGTCGCCCCGGAGCGCCACGGCAAATCATAATAATATCCGTCCCTTTCCCCGCACAAGCTCAGCTTTTAGCGTTAAAATTCACTCGTAAGGGGGTGAATTAGGGAGAGTATTAATATTTCGTAGATTTTTGATACTGGGTCAAGTAAAGTAGCTTTCATCAGTGAAAAGTATATTTTTAGTGAAAGTATCTTTCTGAGGAAGTAGTTCTTTGACTTTCTGTAAATGTTAATGGCGTAGCCTTTGTTATTTTTTTAACTTCTCCTTATTGCTGTTTTTTATATATTTAATAGAAATGCTGCTCGTCTCAGACCATGCTTTTATGATTTTCTGCAAAATGGTATTCCTTTTTCTATTTCAATTGTCACTTGTTTTTAAAGACTACAATCGCCACATATTTTTTTAAAACCTATCCTGTATTCACCACAATTGTATCTGCATACTCTTCATTACGAAAGATGTGTGTAATAACTTCATTTATCAAACTAATAGGCAACAAAACTGTAATTCGCTAAAGTTAATTTGACACAAGCTTAAACGATATCATTAAAAGATAATTTTTAGTCGGTAATAATGTCAAATTAGAACCAGCCTACTAAGCATTTTCAATATTTTATTATTTTGATACCTCTGAAATAATCATGACAGATAGCAGCTTACTATAAATGTTGTATTAATTTATTTACAATAAGGATTGCCTTTATGTTTGTTCTACATGCGTATAATTATTTTATTGACTATTTCACTCATCTTAAAATTTTCACAAAATTATTATTATTATTATTATCGCGAAAACACCAGCTATCTTTTAATTCTGATTGGTCTATCAGCACGAGGTAATAATGGATACGGATGGCACAGCAAAGTTTGACAGTTTGACAAAAAATAGTTGTAGTTGCTGAGTCAAAATAAGTCGCTTCAGTGCTACTTTAAACGAAGTTACCAACCAAAAATTTGATGAAATTATACCAAGTAACACAAAAAAAATCAAAATCTTACATATAGACAATTTTTGACGTTCTGTGAGAAACGCAACTACACACTAGATGCAGAAAATAGCAACAAAAGACTAGCATTCATTCTGAAAAACTGGGCATTCAATATGCGGAAGATTGATGGTAAATTAAATACCATTCGTAAGTGAATTTCTTATAAGTCTGTCTTTTATTTCTCAACGAAACTGAGTTGCTTGAAATATTCGAAAAATTAATTAGGGGTTAGTCTTTTTACCACTTTGTAAAAAAGAATAAGGTTAAAAAAATACCGTTACATACTTATTTACTGTAAATAATTTGATCTGTTCTTAAAATTTTGTATTAAACATTCAAAATCATTTTATGGAACATGCAGTTAGAAGGTTGTCCTCTTTATTCCGAAACACCCTGTTTGCGCAATTTCATAACTGATCGTTCATACCTGTAATATTAAATTGATTTAAGCGCCCGGATAAATACTAGCGATGACTAATAACGATAAAAACATTGTATTTATGAATATTTATTAACAATTTTTTTTCTCAAGCACACCATTTATTACTCCAACACGAAGGTCTTTCATGCTAATTTTGTTAAGAGGAATGAATCGGTTACATAAAACTAAAGTGGCATGTAAATAATCGGAAACTATTCAAATCTACTGATGGCTACTTAACTGATCCGAATAATCGGCATTTTAATGCTTGGATGATAAGAGTTTGAAGTAATTTGACATATTATTGTTTTGTAAAATTAGTAAAAAACATAACTAAATTGGTAAAAATATTGGTAAATATGAAAACCTTATTAGGGGAATTTATGTTATTCACGTTATTTTTCAAACGGACTTCTTAAATTTGGCAGTTTAAAAAAAGGAATAAAAAGGAATACCAACTCCTGGAGTAATTTTGTAATATATGCATAAGATAATAGGAATAGGATAATAGGAAATTTTGGACAAGGATAAAAAGATTACTAGGAAATAGAAGAAAATAACAGCTGTGAAAGGAAGGAAAATAAATAATGTATACCTGAAGAACCCATAAAAACAAATTGAAAACGATTGAGGAAATAACAAATATAGAATAAAATGAACAACGAACTCAAGAAATTTAAAGAGAAGAAATAGAGGAGGTCATATTTAAAATCCAAGTAGGAAAAACAAGAAAAGAGATCGGCATATCCAGAGATGATTAAATGATTAATGGAAAATGGAAAGGGATGGTTGTGGATTATATATACAGGGTGTTTCCTAATAACATGCTAATATTTAAGGAGGTGATTCTTGAACCCATTTTAAGAAAAAAACTTGAATGTATGTCCTAAACGTCTTAACTTTTGAGATACAGGATATTAAAGTTTAAAAAAAAAAGATGAAGTGAATTAAAATATATAGGAGATTATTTTAAGGAAAAATGAATGAGATTGTAGGAATATAAGATTTAAAGGATAATAAAAAATTCAGCAAGATAAGAGTCAAAAATTTTTATACAGTTGGAGTATCACGTAAGATCCCAAAATTGGACATTGTAAATGGATAGTGGAAGAAGAAGAAAGAGAGAATACTCTTTTAAATATTTGTTTGCCAGTACCCTAATTATTTCCAAGGAAGAAGACGAATATGTGTCATTATAATTTATTTCTTTATTGTTTGTTATAGTATGTAAATAACATTTTGTGATCAAACTAAACATAGGGGAAAACATATATTATTTGGTAGGGTAAATTTTCTTTTAATATGTTTTCTTTATCTTGGCTTATCGAAATTATTGATACCTATTGAGATTGAAGTATTTCAAGCTAAAGCTTTGTGAGTTAATTATAAATTTTATTTTTGGTTATTAATTTCATTTTTTTGAGCTAGGTGGGGCTTTTCTTACATTTAATATCGGTAGATATTTTCATTATTAAATTGTTTATTTTAACATAAATGTGTTACGGGATGATAAAAGTACATTCATCTTGATCTCGAAATAATAAATGTTATTGATCGCTTACCGTTTACTTGCGTCTGCCATACGGCATCACCGACACCCCATAAACCAGCTGCCACAAAGAATTTAAAGGGAGTATCGGGGTGAGGTCTCCAAAGCAACATCCAAGTTTGCAAACCAGCGTGGACTATCACACCCAGGCCCATGATAGGCGCCCTACCAATGTATTTCATGATGGATCCAAACAGAAGACTGCAGACGGCGTTAACGCAGCCAAAGCATATCATGACGTAGCCAACGGAAGGAATGCCGAGAGCGCAGGAGACGTAGGCTTGGGTGAAGTCTGCCCCGATGAAGGCCTGTTCCATACCGATCCATACTGTGATGGGGATGAGGAGTTGCTGATATGGTTTCTTGAGTTGGTAGGCTGTAGCGGACAGAAGTTGGATACCTGTTAGTTCCACTTGGCTGGCTCTTCGACCCTGTTTTTCACCATACCTGCAACAGAAATGACCAACGTAAAAAAGTGAACAAATTTTACGAATGTTTGCTGAAGGAATAAAAAAACTTAGCGAATGGTAATTGTAATCTTCATTAGATATATTAAGCTAAAATTATAAACAAATGTGGCGAGAATATAACTTTTAAGTTACGTGACGCTACTTTTACGTCAAATTGAGTTGACTGAATTTTGTTATTAATGAGTGACAGTACCACAATTAATTTCACTATTCGTGGTACCCTTAAATATCAATAATTACATTCACAATCTTCAATCTATAGAAAATACGAGGGTAATTCAAATTTAATCCGAAATTTTGTTTCTAATCATTATTATTAGGCAAGATATACTACTTTTTGACATACTCTTCATATAACTCTATACGCCTTTGCCATCTTGTAAGCTTCGTAATAACTTAAAAGGTTTTTGGTTGGGTAACAAGTCAGTTTTGCACAAAGATCTCCACTTTGTCATCGTCTTCAAACTTTATGCGGTCCAAAGCTTCTTTGAGAGGTCCAAACAAATGAAAATCGTAGGGTGCCAAGTCAGGGTTATAGGGAGGGCGAGGTAATGTTTCCCAATGCAATTTGGCAAGTGTGTCGCGAGTCAATTGCGCACTATGAGGTCGGGAGTTATCATGGAAAATAATGACGCTTCTGATCGAAAAGCCGTCCTAACTTTCCCGGCACCAGTGAACACTTGGGACTTAGAAAGGGTATCTTCTCCATATTCCTGACGAAGTCTTTCGAAAATTTCAGATGATTTAACATTCTCCTTGCAAATAAATTTTATAATTCGTTGCGCATTGCGCAACAGAAACATGAACTGATTGTTCCGTCATCTTTGACAGTACTAATAAAAAACAATTGAAACTTTAATGACAGTACGTAATGTTTCTAGAAAGTCCCAGAGTTACCGGTGAAGACTGATTTCTAACTTGGTGTTTTATGGCGTTTCGTGACGAAATTCCGGGTTACATTTGAACAACCTTAGTACAATTCGTGCTTTGCACTCGTTTCATATTCGTCATTGGAACTGTCATTAGTGACATTTCAAAAAATTTTCGATAACAGAAAATTTTACACCTGTTTTTTTACCAAAAAAATGCGAGTTTTCTTTAGCGTTACCGTGGCAACCTGGTATTGTTTCGGAATCTTTTTTATGCTGGAGTATTTCGGAAAATATTATAGTGGATATTTGTTTAATATCCAATCAAAATAAATTCCGGCATTAAATAAATTAGTTGACAGTTAGGCTATTGACTACAGAAACATTAGGCGAGACACAAAGTGACAGTTTTTCTGTTCTAGAGCGGAAAACGTCCACTTTCAGGTTAGATTTCAACGTGGATAGTGATTGTTGAAAAAAATATAATTGATAACTTTTTTAAAACATCGGTACGTCGCGTCGTTCGAAAAAAAGTATCTCAAATAAATAAAAAAAAAACAGTTAATTATTGACATGTTGAAATGTTTACTGGAACGGTAAGTAATATTTTTTTTAAGCATCGCCCGAAGGAGTAATAAATACCTACTGTTAAAAAAAATTTAACTCGCGGTTTCGCGTCAAATACATTTTTTTTACTCTTTGTGGCGCCAAGTGCACGCTTTCCAATGTACTTAAACAAGGACGTAGTAAAAGGTAAATGGGTATATTTTCAAGCTATTAAAATTTAAAATTAATAAAACATTTGATAGTAAAATTATGTTTTATATCCATATCTGATGTTAATTATTATCGTAAAATTGATATGTCTGCCTAGTCAACTACAAGGGAGGCTCAAGGCAGAATTTTCTGAGGGAGCCATTAGATTTACTAGCTGGGAATATAAAAAGTTCTACACTCAAATTGAATATGTAAAATCGTGAATTAATGCGACTTGTTCATTTAAAACGTTCATGATTCTTGACAAATAAATTACTAGATCTGTTTGGGAGATTTTATTAATTATTCTCAGTGATGTTGACAGTTTTTCTTAGGTTTTTCCTAAACGAATTTGTACGTAGTTGTTGATGTTTTGTTGTATTGGAATTAAAATATATCAGGATCGAGGAAAACAACAAAATAATATCATTTAAGAAAAAAAAAATGTAGTACGTTATAATTCCCGTGTCACGTGATGCTGTTTCGACCAAATGGGTTGACTGATTTTTTTTTATTATTAAATGACAATACAGTGTTGTATAATCGATGTGGCACTTGACTTACCATGACTGCGAAACAAACCAGTGATTTACAAACCTCTCTGTTAGTTAATCGTTCTCAAATCATTATCATTATCCTCATTATATTCTCTTTCTAACTGGAATTTCCAAAAGAGTGACTTCATGAAGAAATTGTCAAATGTAAACTAATGCCATTTCCAATCTATGGACGATATTTTCATCGACTTATTATATGAAATGATCCACCAAAACTGTTTCTAAAGTAGGCCATTTGAAAGATAAAATTCACGTATATCGGAGTATACGGTTCTTCTTTTAAAGTGTAAGATTGGATTTATTCAGAACCGTGTGTAGTTATTACGAACATGACTTTTTTATCGGTCATGGCCTACTTTAGAAACATTTTTTGTAGATCACTCTTTACATTACCCTTGACAACAAGGTGTAGCCTTCTTTTCTACAAAAGTCATATGTACCAAGAAACTGTAATGACTTGCACGCATGTAGCTTATTAGGTATATACTATATCGCGTCATAAGCGTCAAAAAATGTAACCCTTTTGGTAACTTTATATAATCTTGCAGTCTTAGTGGAATATTTAGATTATGCTCAACTCTCCTTACAGCTGGGGTATTTAAGAAGTAATGAAAAAACAAAAAAGTATGACAACCACAGGATCTTTAAATAGTTGTTTTTTATAAGGTATAATGCTTTTACATATTTGAAAAAAATCTAATTAAATATCCTGTGGTTAACATACTTTGTGTTTCTCTCATTTCTTCTTAATCTACTTCGAACCACTTTGAAATATGGATATTTGGAATTTGGTTATTATTTAATATTATGACTTTTACCTTTTCCACACAAAGTTGTCATTACGATTTTATTCCGTTTTAATTTAATATAAGTTAGAACCCCGAAAATGGTTCTACAAAACATACTGTCGTGCGAGCCATTTTTAACCAGTTCGGTATTTTAGAATTTAATAGATACATTCTCAAGTGTTCCATGATTGCAATTTTTGACGAAGTTGCCATATTCGATAAACTGGTGAAATGTTCGGGATTTTGTATCCTTTGTATTCTTTGTTGTTGGAGCTGTCATTTCAAGATATATATTCGAATTTTAAGGAAAAAATGCCAGTATACGAGTATAAGTGTTTGATATATAAATAGTGCTGATATAGAAAATAAATCTTTGAGATAAGTTATTGTTAAGTTGTAAATAAATTATTGAATATAATTGTAACTAAATTAAATAATTAATTGTTTTAAAGACATAAACGTTACAATAGCATTTCATGCATTTGTTAAACAATATAAATAGGTTTTTTTGTTTTTGAAAACACGGGTAACAATGGCAATTTATCTGGCTTAACCAACTGTCAGATGTCATTGATAAGTGAAGATAAATCGCATTGTGAGTATAAAAAAGAAAACGTGAGAAATTAAAGAACAAGCAAACAAGAAAAGAAAGATAAAATATTAAGGTGTGTAAGGTGTATAAAGTGAGGGCTTTCGGAAAAATATTTTAATAGTATATTACGAGTGTGGAATATGACATTTTCACACAAGTAATGTACAATATTTTTCCAACGATCACAAAAAAAATTTATCTAAAAAATAAATAGCGGAAAGATTAATTGTAGGTGTTATGTTATGATAAATAAAATGTGTTTCAAATAAATAAACAACAATTCAATTTTCATATATTTTCAAAATAAAAAAATAAAAAGGTTGCTTCCATCGGGATTAAACCTACGTCGCGACATGCGAAGATGATAAAGTTGAACGCTATGAACTGAGCCATTAGTTGTGTATATATTGACAAAAAAAATATTGTAGTTACTTTAAAATTATTTTAATAATTTGTTAAAAATAAATATCTTGGATCTAGGCACAAAAATCAATTTATCATGAAATCGATTTTACTATTAATATCAAATCACAATAGAAACTGACATATTTGACAGCTGATGCGAAAAGTAGATTCATAATTACATACGGGTGGAAAGTACATTCTTACCACAAGCGTGTGATGTAGGGCACTTCCCACTTGCCCTTAAACTAAATGGATGAATGTATACTGCAATAGTGAATCAATCATCAATTAGCCTGGAGTAACAGAACTAGTTTAGCTACTACGAGAGCTAATATCTCAAAAGTACAAAGACTAGCCTGTGCCTGTGTTTGCATTACCGGTGCAATGAGAACCTGCCCTACGGCCGCAATGGAGGTGATTTTAAACCTCACCACTCTACATTTGATGATAGAGAATGTGGCAAAAAAGGCACAATATATAATGATCAGGAACGGAGTATTCAGCAAAAGTCTACTTGCTTCAGGACTAAAGATACCTGGGACATGCCCCAGGATGAAATGCTAAAGAAGTACAGTTTTGTGAAAAACTTCAAAACCACAGAGCTGGGCTTCAAGAAAGAATGGAGCCAAGAATCCATCGCACTTGAAACCGAAAGACATGCTATTCAGTGGTTCCAAAACCATAAAAGAAACTGGAATAGGAGTGTATGGGGCGAGAACCAAGCACTCCGAAAGCTTGGGAAAATACCCAAGCATCTTCCAGGCGAAAATTCACGCCATCGAGAAGTGTATCGAGTTTAACATCGAGAGAAACTATCATAGACAAGAGATTATCATCATGTCCGATAGCAAAGCAGCCATCAAAGCGCTTAGCTCTTACGTAATCAGCTCAAAAATGGTCTGGAGATGCCTAGATCAATTGAATGAGCTAGGCGAGAAAAATAGAGTTACTCTCACTTAGGTCCCGGGACATAACGGGGTACAGGGTAACGAGATTGCAGATAGTCTTGC